TTGTTTTCCATTACTGTTTTTTTGATACGAATTGTTTGTCTTTTGAAATTGGTTCTCAATTTTTTTTTTAATTGGAGGTAGTCTTTACTGAGTATGGGTAGTAATGTTAAAGTTAATAAAATTATTTTACCTTTTGAAAAAGTTTTACTTTCTCCCACCACTGTGTAGATAAGTTAATGTCTCTTCCTGGAATTTTCATTTACAATTTAATACTCTTTTTAGGTACTGGTCACCTCACCCAGCCTGCGGCCGCTACACAGAGAGGCCCTGGGGGAGAGGAAAAGAGTCTCCAGCGATTGAAGTCCGCGACCTACCAAGGGAAGAGCAATACTTGGTCTCTGAAGGTATCCCAGAAACTAATTTCCCTTAATCAAATGAAGGGCCTTAGGAGGAGCCCACGAGGCAGGAAGGAAAATAAATCTGAAGAAGAATACCAAATTCCGTGAGGAGTTTGAAAGACCTGCATTAAAAAAGGGCACCGTACCTTTAGGACTTCAGAACTAGCAATGTTCCATTATGCAGCTATTAATATGCAAAAAATGCCTTCATAAATACTTGATTCTGTTCACAGTGGGGAAGCAGTTCATTTGAAAGAGGAAATGGGAGCTTGGAGTTGAAATATGTCTGCTTGTCTCCTTTTTCTTTTTTCATTGGTCTTTTCATCTCCGCATTTCCCCGTGTAGTTTTCTTCCCCCTCTTTCTCCCTGACTTCACCCCCTCTTCCAACTCCTAGGAAGTTGCCGATGTCGGCGGCTACTCTCATTTCTTTTGATGGGTTCACCGCGCCGGGGCCCCGATCCTCGGGTAGGGTGTGGGAGCCTCGGGAGCTCTGGCCACCGTTTGCGTCCTCCCTGCGCGCTCCGGAGGGGGCGCCCAGCCCTCCCCGCCTTCCCCGCCTTCCCCGCCCCCGCTCCCGCTCTCGCCGCCGCGCGGACACGGAGCCGAGCTTTTCCAGTCCCGCCGGCAGGGGGCGCCCGCCGGCAGCCTCGGGGAGCGGGTGGCGCCTCCAACCCTGGCACGTCTGCCAAGCCAGGGCTGGCTTTCTCTCCTGCCCACACGTTCAGAAATTGTTTTCCAAATCTAGGTATGTAATTTCTCATTAAAGGGTGGTGATACCAAAATAGTTTCCACCTTTGGGTTTCTGCCCCCCACCCTCTGCTAGCACTGTGATAAAAAAGTAAAAGGATTTTATGCGACTGAATACCTCGTATGGTCAGACTCCCGGGAAGGGAGGGAGGGGGTGAGTCAGTGGGGAGTTAATGGAAAGGAACGAAGAACAGAAACTGCCGAAGCTGATAAAGATGAATTTTGTGGGACACCCTCGCCTGCTTCGTAGTGGGCAAGGCGGCAGTGGAAGGAATCCACTGGATTTGCCAGTGGCCCATCAAGGTAGGTAACTGAAATCCGCTGGGCAGAAATTTGTTTCCAAATCCTTTCCAGATGCTTTCTAGTAAACATGAAATTAGTCATTTACATGGAGTAGGTTGAGGAAGTAGTTAAAATTGAAGTCAGTGATTATTCTAATAAAGGGCCGTTAGCCTCAAGAAGTAAGGGGGAGGGGGTAAGGAAGACACCCCACGCTCCACCCCGTTTTCTCTGTGTTTGGGGGCTGGTGGGGCGCCCTAGACTTTTCCTCAAATGGCTTTTCTTTCCAGGGCTGCTTCGAAAGGAATTAAGACTACAGTGACTTCAACAAACCAACTGGTGGGAACAGTCATTTCGCAGAGGAGGCACGTGAAGTTCTCTGAGTGAGCTGACTTGCCATAGCCTCACGGAGGAAACCCAGGATTAGAGGTTAGGACCCTCCGTCTGGTGTTCCTCTTTCTGGCTGCAAAGTTAATAATTCAGTCTAGGATTGAATTTGACATGCCGAGCCACTCTTTTATCGCAGGTGATATTGGGCCTCCTGAAATACAGCCACAGGGCTGTGTGAGTTTGGAGTGTGTTTAGAGCATGTGAGGCATTTGCGTGGCCTTTGGAGTTGTGGAAATTATCCTTAGTACAGACGCTCTCAAAAAAGTAATGTCTCTAGATCCCTTATAAAAGGCGGCTTTAAAATAGGCATTTTTTACACATACAGACTTAGGTTCTGTGGTTCCTCCGTAACAGGGAAGGTGGGGCTCAGCTGGGCTTTTCCCCAGTGGGGGCTGACCCAGGCCTAGGGTTGTCACTGCAAAAGTTCAGGTCCTACCTCGGAACCCAGCTCAGGCACACAGATGAAAAACCCATTTCTATTATTATTATTTTTAATGAGTGCAAGGGGAGAGGAGGAAGCCAGGCTGTCTCAGGAAGTTGGAGATAAGGGAGAAATCAAGATCATGGCCCCGGAGGCTGTCACAGGGAAAGACTCGAGAGTCCCCTGGAGCTCTGTATGCTGTTTCTGCCTCAGGTTCTCTCAGACCTTGGATTCAGCTCTGGGAATTCCCAAGTCGTCTCTCTAGATAGAATTTGACGACAGTCCTGGCCTCAGACCTTCCAATGAAGGAACAAACTTATAAATATTTGTGAACATATGTCCTTGAACCTTTAATAGATATTCCTAACCTATGCACATGAAGTATTGTTTTCCTTTCTTCACATTTATCCTGGCATTTTTTTCTTGATTGCTAATTTTTTCTCTTTGTTAGGAATGAAAATTAGTGCTTACTGCCTCAATAGATGGTACCTTTCTGTGTTTCCGTATTCCCTTTCTGATTTTGCAGAAATCAGAGAAAGGCCTCTTCATCTTATTCACATACACGAAGAGCCAGACAATTCAGTACAAGTTGAGTTAAGACATTCCATATCTAATTGTAAAGGAACCTTTGTGATTTTATAGTCTACTTGCATCATTTTACTAATTAGGCAAATGAGTCCCAGAGAGGTGAAGAGTCTCACCTAGGGTCACACAGCAAGCTGAGACAAGAACCTAGGCATCTTGCCTCCCAGTATCATGCTCCTTTAGAGTCAGTACTATACCTGCTTCTCTGTTGTTTGGGTCGAAGGTGAGGTTTCATGAAGATTCATGTGAAGGTTGGTTCTGGATTCAGTGTTTGCTATGGCGAAAATCAGAGAAAAAGGATCAAGGTTGTCAGATCTAGGTCTCATGACTTTTTATATAATATATACTGTACACATACACACCTAGTTCATATGTATGTAAGATTATGAACACATATACACCCATGGCATTCATATTCACTCACCACATAATACCCATAACCTCTACACACATAGTCTAAACTCCATTTTAAATGTGGTACTAAGACCTTATGTTCAAATTTACATTTTTCTTATTTTGGTTGCTCTTTAAAAGAACAAAAGCAAATTCTTTGTGCTATTAAAATTCAGATAAAGCTGAAATTAAAAAGGAAATATTGATGGAAAAAAATCTGCTGATGCTGTTGAATATAAATTTTGTATGATCTCATTTCACTGAAGTAGGAAAATGCTTCTCAGCTTTCGACATAGAACAGAGACTTCCCTTTTCCCTCACAGTGTGGAGGGGTAATAGGAGAGGTGGAAGCACGAAGCAAACAAAGGCAGAGGCCAAAGTGAGGCTGATGTGAGGGGACTAATGGAAATCTCGGAGCCTGCCATGAAGCAGGTGCCACGCTGACACGGATGTGGTGTTGGTGTAACCCCCATGACCCTCCTCTGTGGTTGGCATTGTCACTGTTCTTTCCAGGTGTGGAAGCCGATGCATGAAAGGTAGGGTAACTCACCCAAGGTTGTACGACTAGTAAGGTTTTTAGTAAGGATTTGTGTCCAAGACTGCCTGACTCTAAAACTCCGTTGTGCAAAAGGATAGGATTTATTTTGTTTTTCTTTTTTTCTCCTAAGAAAGTAAATTTAATGTTTATAAAGGAATGTTTATTTGAGGAACAGATTTAGCTAAGCACATGGCTCTTCTGACAAGGATTCTAGTCTCCTCTCTGGGACCAGGGTCCAACAAAAAGTTCTTTCCATACTTGGTACTTGTAAGTAGCTCTTTTAAGAGGCTATGGCCTTATGTGACTCTGTATTTTTGTCTTTTTGACCTGAAGCCTCTGCTCGTTCCTTGTGGGCTGACCTTCCCTTTTCTGTTGTTTCTCAACCGTCCTCTTCTGTCTTGTTTGAAAATGGCTTCTGCATAGATTTAAAACATATCTTATTTAAATCAGCTTGGGGGAAACTTAATGCCCAGAGAGTGTTTTCTTTCCATTGGCTCAAGGCCATACCTTTGAATAGTGCAAGACCAGGAACCAGAACCCAGATGTCCTGACTTAGTGTCTTGTACGTTTCCCTCCACATCACACTGCCTCCTGTTAGCCTCAGTTGAGCTTGCCACATCACAGCTGCTTGGCCACGATCCATTCTCTGGACAAATCCAGCCCAGCAGAATTGTGTTGCGATGAGGTTCACTTCACTGTGGCTTAGAAGAAACTGTGGGTCTCTTAGAAATGAAACTTATAAATTCTAACGCATAAGGAAAGTTCTTGCAACACCAGGAGAATGAATCAGTCAGCCAGAGTTCAAGAAATGTAAACACATTTTTAGATAGGAGACTGAAAAATCACTTAGGACTTCTTCATCTCTTGGGTCAAGACCTTGGTAATTTACTGAGGTCCCAGCCGTCAAGGAGGAGACGCAACTCAAACTGCATTCCTGGGAGATAAAACAATGGGGATGGTTAAACTTCCTTTGGGAACAGTGGGGCAAGATCTACCCCCATTCTCAAGTCAAAGAAACTGACTAACCCATCGACCAACCTAGGCAACTGGCTATTAACACAGAGCCCAGTTTTTTTTCTCGTTCAGGAGCTAGTGGTGTTCATGTTCACAGACTACAGAGTATACAACTTCCAGGCATGCCTGAAACTGGGGGCTCACTGTCTTAATGTGATGAACATTTCTGCCACTAAAGAGATAAACAGAAAACACATTCCTTTCCTGGCTGCCCACCATCAGGCCTGAGCAGATTTTCAAACGCTAGCATTAATCTAACCACAGGCTTTTAGTGAGGAGATAGCATTCTCACCAGATAATCAGACAGTTTTAGAGATGACCCTTACTAGATGGGGTCTCATCCCAAACCTCTTACGCCTTCTTCAAATCATGGGATCCTTCATCAAACACTCAAAACTTGAAAAGCAGGAAAGGGCATCTGATTCTAGCATGGAATATGGCCCCTTAACATTTCCTTCTATTGAAATCCGTGTTGACTATGTTTAATTCCCAAGTTGTTTTTGCTCATTGTTTTAAATAAAAATGAAACATAGTCATATTTATTCCTATTGTTTCAGAATACTTATTTCCCTTTGTATGGGACCCTCCGGCAGGCCCTATCTGGTGTCAGAATTGAAATCTAACTCCAGAGAGTCACCTCCTTAGGCCAGGTGGGCCACCTGGCCCCTTCCTAGATGTGTGTCAGGGTTTGGGAAAGAACATCAGACCTGCAGGCACCAAAGTGGCCAAATAGTCAGTGGTTACAAGGGCAGCAGCTGTTAGAGGTGCTGGCAGGAGCCTCTTTAAATCTGTTAAGGGTTTTTCCCTGCATATACCATCTCTGAGGCATGAGTACCCTTTGCTGGCTACTGTGCTGTCGTAGAACTTCCCCCGTAACTTGCAGTATTTCATCACTGGGAAGAGGGTATATCCGTTGCCAAATGTCTCAGAAAGCTCCTTTGCCTTCTCACAGCTTTGCATATGGACTTGCTGGCCCCAGAAGAAGCCAATGGAAGAAGGCCTGAAAAGTCAGCCTTCGGAGCATCATCGTTTTGTGTTTTTGGTCATAAATGGAAAATGCAAATGCAAATTCCAGATTATTTTTTAAAAAATTGTTCCCAGTATAAACTTAACCATAAAAGGAAGGATAATTTTGGTCTTGCTGAACTTTCCTTAAGAATATCTAAAAATATTTTATTTTATATGATGTGACTCAAGATGCCTATGACCTATAGAGTGTTTGTAGTGTTATAATAAATTTCGAGTCTGCTTATTTAAGGCAGGAGACCAAAACCCAAGATGTCCTTTTGGTATTGTCATTATCAAATTCTTGGGACAAGATTTAAGACCCTGTATATGCTACACATTTTTGCTTTAAATCTTCTAGGATGCGGAGGAGGGTGAGATGGGCATATCAACTAGACGCTGGAGACCTGAACAAGTATCCAGGCTAAAGACATACCCCTGGGAGCACCAGTTAAGGAGTTACATAGACAGATCTAGAAAATATGAGTCAGTCTGAATTTAAATATCGAAGTGCCTAGTAAATGTGAGGCATTTCTTCCAATTTGGAATAACTGTCCTTTTATTTACTTATATCTTCTTAGACTAAGGCTAGCTAAGTCTCAAGGGTCTGGCTTTAGCTTTGGGAACATCAACTTCTCTCAAAAATCTCATAAATTATTTTTTATGGAGAAGTCCAAAGGTACATGGCAGTTTTCCAAACCCCAAATGGAAGCCAAGCTAGATGACAGAATTTAAATTTGAGTTGAGTAGCAACAAAATATCAACTACATGAGAAACCCTCCAATCAAGATACATCGCAGGATTAATAACGATACCTGTGGTGGAAGACAATGGTGGAAAGGAATTCATTTTTTTTTTTTTTTTTTTTGAGACAGAGTCTCACTTTGTTGCCCGAGCTAGAGTGAGCTAGAGTGAGTGCCATGGCATTAGCCTGGCTCACAGCAACCTCAAACTCCTGGGCTCAAGCAATCCTACTGCCTCAGCCTCCCAAGTAGCTGGGACTACAGGCATGTGCCACCATGCCCGGCTAATTTTTTTTCTATATATTTTTAGCTGTCCAATTCATTTCTTTCTATTTTTGGTAGAGACGGGGTCTTGTTCTTGCTCAGGCTGGTTTCGAACTCCTGAGCTCAAACAATCCGCCCGCCTCAGCCTCCCAGAGTGCTAGGATTACAGGCGTGAGCCACCGTGCCCAGCTGGTGGAAAGGAATTCAAACAAGAGGCAGAAGGAGGATCCACATACAAAGCAGCCAGTCAATTCAATTCACGTGGTGGTCTCAGTTCTCCAGAAAATATTGTTTTTGGTCATTTGGTCTCAGACAAATATAGGTATCTACTATCCCAGCGTCTAGTCTTACCTCCTCTAGTCCATTCTCTACATAGCTGGGAGAGTCATTTATTTAAAATAAAAATCTGGTTATGTTAATTCCTATGTAAGCAGAATCCCACCGCTGCTGGGATAAATTCCTTAGTTGCTGCCTATGGCTTTTCACGATCTGCCTCCTGCCTACTCCATGAACTGCATTTCTCACCACTCCCTCCCCTACATGTACCCTGGGGCCCAGCCATTACAAGTTGCTTACATTTCTGCCATGGTGCCATGTGCTCCAACCTTCATATGGTCCTTTCCCTTACAGCATCCTTTCTTTACCATTTGGCTAGTTCCTGCATATATTCTTAGGAAAATTCTGCCGAAGTGTCCTCTCCTTCCAACAGCCTTCTCGACCTCCAGGCTGAGTCAGTCTGTGCTCACTCCTAGCTCTCAACACATGCCACCACTGTGGACTGCTCAAGGCACAGACTCGGCCTCTCAACTGTGTTCTTGTGCCTCGCACAGTATTCATCACTAGTAGATGGTCAATTCGTGTTTGCTGAATGAATGAATGAGCAATCTCTCTGCGCTTTGTAAAACAGACTCACTGATTTTTTCTGTTGAACATGTTCTGATGCTGTCTACATTAACTTTCAAAGGAGGAATTGTGAGGAAGCTGAGATAACCTCAAAATTCTTAGGCCACCAGATGTGTCAAAGAAGCAATAGAGAGAAACTAGGAGGAAAAAAATCCTTAAGGAAAGCCTCATGTGTATAGCTGTTTTGATGAGAAGATAACACAAATGTCTGAAGTGTGGTGCAATAGAAAACAGTATTTATGAATTATTGGTTAATGAAGTAGTTTTTTTTATCACTTTGACAGAAGAAAAATCAGTATTCTAAACTTTATTATAGGTTGAGAAACGTAACTCACACATACGAGCACACACAAAATCTTGAAATCCACACCTGCCTTAAAATGCACTGTGCCAAGTACTACTTCACTGCTCGGGCAAGGCCCTAATCCCTCATGCACACTATGCATTAAGTGAGCAGCAGACCCGGGCTACTTGGGAGGGACACAGCCTGAGAATTTCAAGAATCCTTAGATTTGTGAATACCCCTAGTGTATACCATATCCCCAATAAAACTTCAGTAGAATTGAAAAAAGAGGGGGAGTTATTCAAACTCGGAATGAGTCTATAAATAAAGGACTGTAGTGATTTATTCAACTTTTTTTGGCAGAGAATCGTCAAATTGTTAGACCACTTCACTTTCTCTTACTTCTATCACTAGTCCCAGCAGTTGCAGTCAGCCTTCTTTTAGGCCATTA